TTTAGAATACTGTGTTTGGTACAGTTTAATTTCTCTCAGAGTTGGCTGTGACTTTGGATTCACTCTTAATTTCTTCTCTAATTCTTTTATTTTATCCAAAATCTTGTCTTTTTTCTCATTTTGTGTTTTTTCTTTACTACATTCTGTTGTATCAGGAATCCCCTCATAACAGCTTTGCTTGCGTCCCAGACGATTCTTTTTCCACCGAATTGTTCATATTTATCTCAAAATAATCTTTCAAAACTTTTTGGGCCTTCTTGGTAATTTCCTGATCTCTAAACAAATTGTCATTCATCTTCCATCTAAAGGATCCAGTTGGTAGTAGTGTCATGTCCATCTTTACTGCGTTGTGGTCAGAACAGGTCTTTGGGCAGATTTCCACTTTTCTAACCCTAGGTGCCAGGCCTCTAGAGATCCATATTTGGTCGATTCTTGTCCAGGTCAGTTGGGCTTCAGAAAAGAATGTTCCTTCTCTACCTAGTGGGTTCTTTGTTCTCCAAATGTCGATCAAGTCCATATTGTCAGTCATTTCAAAAAGGTTTTAGGTAGTCTGCCATCTTTTGTGATGTTTTGACTTTGCGACTTGTCCATGTTAGTTGACACGACCCCGTTCATGTCTCCCATCATTATGATGTTGTTGTAATCCAGATGATCCAGCATTGTCCCCTGCAACTTCTTGTAAAATTCCGATTTCCCTTCATTAGGCGCATAGATTCCTAATATCAGCAGTTTCTCTCCTTGATATTGTATCTCAATAGCCAAAATCCTTCCATGCTCATCTTTAAATAGAAATTTAGGTGACAGGCTCTCTTTTGCATATATCACCACTCCTCTCTTCTTCACTTTATCCGACGAAATAAATTCCTGGCCCAATCTTTTATTTATTAACACTTTTCTGTGGAGCCTCGTCACATGTGTTTCTTGTAAGCAAATAATGTCCAATTGTTCTTTATTTAATATATGAAATATTTTCTTCCTTTTCTCCGGAATATTGCAACCATTAATATTCCAGCTCAACAGTTGAAGAGACATCCTGGATCTATCTGGTTATTTCTCCTGGGGTGGTGTCTTCTCTTGATCTTCAAGTTCCCGAGGTGGAGGTATTGATGCTGGCTTTGCCTCAGGCCCGGAAGGTAGTTCAATTCCTTTATGTAGGTCCTCTCCGTGTGTAGCCAAAAATTTATCTCTCTCTTCCAATGTTCTAATTTTAACCTTTCTCGCTCTAAAGGTAAAAGATAATCCTTGGGGAAAGTCCCACCTGAATGGAATTGCGTTGCTCCTTAATAGTTTAGCAAGTTCAGAATAGGCGGCTCTAAGGTCCAACAGTTGTCTTGGGATATCTTTATATATCTCAATTCTTCTATCCAAAACTTCCAGTGACTTTTCGTAATGTAGGCCCAAAATCTTATCCCTTTCCTCCTTCGATCTCAATGTAATCAAACAATCCCTGGGCCTCTCCTTCTTTATAAATCTTCCAAGTCTGAAAGCTGACACAATTTTAAAGTCCTTTTCTTCCAAATTCCAGAACTTGGAAAGTTCTTTGGTCAAAAACTCAGTTAGATTTCCTTCTTCTGCCTCTTGTAATGATCTAATCCTCAAATTATTCTCACGATTTCGCAGTTCTATCATAGAAAGATAAGTCTGATGTTCCCCAACTTGTTTAGTGAGTGGTCTTACCTCTTGCTCTAAATTTTCCAATTTTTGTCTGGTATCCTCAGCCAATTTTCGGTTTTCTACTGAGGCCTCCGTCAACTGTCCAATTGCTTGTGTATTCTGTCCCACCTGTGTAGTTAATTTGTTTAGACAATCTGTATTTTTATCAATCTTTGCTGATTGCGCATCTACTTTCTTGTCCAAAGCTTCCAATTTTTCAAAGATTTTTTTCTAGCACAGAAACAGATGCTCCTGAGGCCATATCTTCCAATTGTAACTGCTCTACTTCACCCTCTCCCTCTTTTGCCTGTAACAAGGCAGCTTCTTCAAGTTGTACTTCTGAGGGCAAAGTAGGCACAGATGATCTACGTGTCTGCGAGGCTGAGGTTAGATTTGTTAGAGTTGTTTGTCTAACTCTTCCTCTTCTTCTTGTACCACTCATTCCAATGTTATCTATCAGTCAAGGTCACACTGAGTTTTCCCACAGGAATAGAGAGGCCCAGAGCATGCAGACAACAAGAGAATCGAAAGTAAATGTTTTTATAAAGTCACTGTTTTAATCCAATCCTCTAGAGGGAGCTTAAAGTGTCTTTTCAGAGTCTGATTTAATGTCCCAGAACCTTCCAATATAAGTATTAAGCAGAGTTTAAAAGTAATCACTTTGTTGCAGACAGTGCTTATTTGTCTCCAAAAGAATGTTTCAAATTTAAAAGGTCTCAATACCCTCAGATTGTTGCAACTTCTGATATACAGTATCCAAGTCAAACACTGACAGCCCACTGTTACAGTGCTCAAGCAATCCTGACTCTGGGTTACACCTTCCAATTTGTAATCCAATAAAAGGGAAAGTCAAGTGCAAATAAAAGGTCCAAATCTTTAACTTGCTAATTTTACTTTAAATTGTAAGTTCCATAGATGCTTGGCTGTGTAGAGTTTAAAATCTCTTTCTTTCAGCCTCCACTCCTCCACTTTGGTTGCTTTTTTTTTTCAAGTTCAATGGCAGCGGAAGACGGACTTCCTGTTTCCACGTCTCTCCGCTTTCAGCCAAATTCAAGTCAATTTAAACCTTCTCATTTAAAATTTGTAATTCCAAGTGATTCAGTCTTTACTCACGAGTAAGTTGTTTTCTTCCAGATCCGAATTTTAACAGGAAAAGGGATCAGCGCTCACCGGCAGCAGCAGCGCGGCTTCACTCCGCTGACTGTGAAACGGCTCACAGCGCCGCAGCCCCCCTCCACGCTCCGGAGCCTCTTACGAGGCTCCTTCTGCAGTTGGAGGGCTGCTCTTGGCGCCCGCCGAGCCTCAGGACCCCAGGCTCTTGCTGCCTGGGGTTTTTCTCGTTGGGTCTCCGCTTCGCCGTAGCGGACGACCCAGTTTCAGCGGAGCTTCTTCTCCGGTCGGGAGAAGACCGCCATTACCGTTCGCGCCGCCCCCCGGAAGTCTCGTAACTATTAATTTTGGTCAGAAACTACCCAGCTAACTAAACACCTCCCCCCCCAGAGTCTCCCCTCACCCCCGGGCTCATTGACCTTGACATTTGAGCCCTCATTTTAGTTAATGTCTTAGAGAAAGTTGTTTATTGGAGTGAATGTGCTCATATTTAGCAGGAGGGTACATCAGCTCCCTCTACTCCTGTACCAGAATCTCATCCCTTCCATATGTAGCTGTGATGTTCTGAGACAGGGGTAGGCAACCTAAGGCCCAGGGGCCGGATCCGGCCCAATCACCTTCTCAATCTGGCCCACGGACGGTCCGGGAATCAGTGTGTTTTTACATGAGTAGAATGTGTCCTTTTATTTAAAATGCATCTCTGGGTTATTTGTGGGGCATAGGAATTTGTTCATTCCCCCCCCCACAAAAAAAAAATTCTGGCCCACCACATGGTCTGAAGGACAGTGGACCGGCCCACGGCTGGAAAAGGTTGCTGACCCCTGTTCTGGGACAACTGGGTTGCCCCTGAGAAAGTGAGGCTGGAATTTCTAGTTCACCCCACCACACATAAAGCATGTGGTTTGTGAATGGCATGTTGGAGCCTTTGTTGGCAAAATACAAAGAGGGGCAAGGATCAAGACCCTTCCTTTTGCCTCTTTAAGCATGCAATATACCGGTACATAATGTTTGCACATGTGCACCATTGACGGGTGATGCTGTTTGAGGGTATTTTGCATGGAAGGCAAGGTTGCAAGAGAAGGAGCAGGGTGTGTAAGACAGAACTGGGAGCAACTTTCTCACCTTGTCAAATCCAAGCCAAAAGTAGGAGGAACAGCTGGTAGGAAGGTGGTGTGAGCGTGCTCTGTGCCTGCAAGAGGTTAAAACTTTTGCCCCAGTGTTTACTTTAGTTGGCTGCCACACTGCATAATAATCTGTCAGCACTTCAGGTGGGGATTTATTTATGCATTAAAAATGGCCTGGGGCGGGCGGATGCAGACACTCTGCAGCATGCTGGAAAATGTGCCTTTAGCATTAAAAAGAAAGAAAGAAAGAAAAAGCCAGCCTCTCCAAATATTTCACTCTTTTAATAAGTGCATTTAATTAAAGTCATATAACTTTTTTATTATTCTTATTTTTTTATTAAGGAGGGGGAAATTTGTGGCTGAGAGCAAGGGCTGGATTACATTGGTGGCGGGTGGGGGGTTAAATTCTCATTCTTAATGGAAAACTCATCAACAGCATGTTGTGCTCTTTTTCCCTTTCACACTGCTTTGATTGTGGATATAAAGTAAAAGGGAATTTTGGTTGTTATTATTATTATTATTATTTCCCCGCCCCCCGCCCACAACACGAAGTCTTCCCCTCTCAGAACTGTGTCTGTTTTCTATGTATGTTGCAGAATTAAATTTTCCAAATAAAAACCAACAGATTTTTCTCATTGTTGGATGATCCTTTTGGTTTTTTTCTTCCCCCGCTCCCTCCTTTTTCTGAAACTTCTCAGTTCGTTTCAGGTTGCTGCAAAGAGCCATATTTGGGAGAAACGGCAAGCTTTCTGCAAGATGGTTTAATTTTGTACGGCAGAAGTATAGCAAAGTTGCTGTGATAGGGGGCACCTGCCTGGGCCAGGAGGGCAAAATATACATGAAAGAGAGTGTGGTATATTGGCAGAAGGCAGTAAAATTTATGCAGGTCCACAAAATACATTTAAAGTACGTGCAACCCACATGTGGTGTGGATCTGCCTTGTATGTTCAGTTGTGCAATGTTTTCTACAGCGCAATGTTTGCTTTTAACATAGTAAAATAAAAACATAAGCTTTTTATGGTGGGGAGGGGCATTGATATTGGGGAGAAGCGCACTAGATATTGTCATGAATGTTACTTCCTCTTTTTTTCAAAAAAAAAATATTCATTTTATAACACAAATAAAAAACACAAACAGAAAAGACAAACAATACGAACAAATTCTTGTCATATCCTTATTTTTCTAAACATTGTTAAGTGGGCTTTCCCAAGTCCCACCTATCTGATTTTCATTTTACTTCATCTTTAGCAGTTTACATATATCATAATTTCTAACCATCTTTTTTTTTAATCACACTTAAAATAACTTCACATTTTATCACTTACAAATAATACTATTTTAAAATACCCTATCTTCTACTTCTAACCCTACAGCCTATATCCACTTCCAAAGCTATTCTAAGGTTTAAATATTAACATATTTTTTCAAATATTCCATAAACTTCTTCCAGTCTTCTTCCACCGTGTCTTCTCTCCGGTCTCGGAGTCTCCCGGTCAGTTCGGCAAGTTCCATATAGTCCATCATTTCATCTACCATTCTTTGATAGTAAATCTTGTTTCTTCCAATTCTTTGCTAACAATATTCTCGCAGCTGTTGTGGCATACAGAAAAAAAGTAACATCCTTATTGGGGATTTCACCCCATGAATGTAACTTCTCATTGGACCTCCACTTGCAGTCTAGTGTGGTACAATGCCATCAGCATTGAGTATTGCCAGTTTAGAGCGGGGAAATTTGAGATATGCAACGATGGACAGTAAAAGCTAGCAGATCCTACCCCCTATTTTCTTTCACATATCAGCTTCATGCAGAAGCAGTTTTGCAGGAATACTTTTCAGAGCCTCCACCACCACTCATAACTCACTGTGGAGTTAATCCCCTTGGGGGAAGACCATAAAATTGGGATCCTGCCCTAGGAACTGAAGTTATAGGGCGGTTTCTTTGTGGCAGACCTCAGGAGATCACCACAGAATTGTGTGTTCTTCAGTGGCTATGTCTCTATCCTTGGGTGGTGTAAAAAAACCCAACTTCTTGCCAACCCTAATATGCCTGCTCCTGTTTGCCCTCGATAGGCTTGCACTTTCTGTTCCTTCTCCGCTCCCCATCCTGCTCTTTCCCTCCATAACTCTGTGACTCACTTTAGGTTCTGAAGGAAAGCTAGGCTCACTGGCCAACGCTGTGGCTGTGGTTCAGTGAGTTGCCCGAATACAGAGGCAACGAGGTAAAAGAAGCAGAATGCTACTGCCTTGGTTGTTTGAGGGCTTGGGCTTTCTCTCTCTCGCTGCAGGCACCAATTAGCAGTTTTTAAATTAGCGGTTTAAAAATAGAGCACGGTTACTCCTGTGGCAGGGGAAGAGCAATTAAAATGGCGGGAGTTGAATGGTTTCCCTTGCCCTGATAGGGCCCTGTGGTGGCCGTGTGGTGGTGGAGCAAGGCTAGTGAGCATAAACGGCGACATGCCACACGCAGGAAGGCCAGCACCTCCAGTAATTACATGTCCCCCACCAAGGGATCACTCTTAGCTCTCCAGACAAGTAAGAAAAGGCAGCATGCGAGGGCCTGTAAAATGGCCGCCTGTTCTGGTGATGCAGATGGTTGCCTATCATTGGCTGTGAGGGGAAACATTCCAGATGGCTTTCCAGTGAATTTCCCCTTCCTTCTCCTCCTCATTTTAATTCCTCTTGTCTTAAGAGTAGCATGAGGAGATATTGCCTATGCCTCTTCAGAAAGAAAGGCGCTACTAGTCAGTATTTTAAGCTATACTGTCTTTTCCTCCTCAGAGACTGTTGCCTCGATCGTCGTTTGAATCTAGGTAGGAAAAGGTTGAAGGGGGAAAAAAAAACTGGCCAGGCCTTTTGGCCGAGGGATTTCTGCTGCATATATTATCCAGGCATGTCAGTGGGATAGGAGCTCGCCCAGAGTTCTGGCACTTACTGCCTCCTCTTGTATTGACAAATGTATAAAGGAAGGCTGCTCCAGCAGTAAGGGTGTTGCATTTTGGCCAAGTTAAACTCCTGACACAGAGACTCTCTGTGTGACCTTGAGCGAGTTGCAGGCGGCTTCAAACCTCAGCATCGTGTAACTCTGTTCTATTTCTCACTTTTATTGGAGCGCCAACTCAAGGAGCTCTTCAGCCCATGTAGGCTCCAGGTTAGAAGTAAGCAGAGACGTCCCCCCCCCACACATTTTGGTTTTCATTTGTTATTGAAAGAAAATGCGTTTCTGCTTTCCAGTGTGCTGTCATCTGCCTGCCTTGAAATGTCATGCATTCCCCCCAAACTCATCATTCCACTCCAAGAGGCTCATTGCATCTGGCGACTGATAAATATAACAAAATGTTGCAATTTGCATTTAGCAAATGTTCCCCTGACAGCTTGTGGCCCTGATGGGGAAAGCTTTTGCAGTATCACAAGCTGCAAGGGGGCTTCCCATGAGAGTGCAGCCGTGGCCTGGGAGTGGTAGCTTTCCCTACAGCAAACTCCCAGTTTCTTAACACTAGCAACAATGCTTTTTAGCTATAGACTCTTTGGCAAGAACATTTTGGCAGAGCCTGGAGAGATGAGTGATCACTCAACCATTCTGTAAGACAGGAAGGTTCTCCAACAGGAGGTTTGTTCTCATGAGCTTTGAGAGGTGGAACAAGTTGTTTCTTAAGTGGTGTGTGGGGAGCCCTCCAAATTTCCTTGTTTCTGTCCAGTGTGGCTTCTGGTTGCAATTGATATGCTCAGTCATGTCAAGGTGGAGAAGGGTCTGTTTTCAAAATCTCCATGTGGTTCAGGCCCACGTGATAAAATTCCATATTTTAAAATGTGTTGAGGGATGACTTATTTTTAACCTTAATAGACAAAGCCCCTTTCATGCTAGCACATTCTGCATTGCTGTGAGATGTGTTTTCCATGAATTGGTATCCTTGGGTGCTGTGTCATTTCTCTCTTTTTTGCACCTGCACCCACATAGGTAGTGATTTTGAAAGTGCCATGTGCGCGTAAATATTACATATTTAACTTAACATAGGTTAAGGAGGGCATGTTTCTTATTTTATTTTACTCTGATGCTGCAGTTGCAGATGCCTTTTAGATAGGTTATTGGAATCCCCCCCCCCATAAAACTAAAACTGTTACAGACTAGTTGCTGCCCAAGAACATTATTGCTATCATAAATTGTTGCCGTTTAAAGTTATTGCTAGGGAACATGCTGTAATAAATGAAGCCAATGCTGAACACCCAAACCACCCCCCGGCCTGGCCTCAGGCAATACAGTTGCTAAAGGACAAGAATGGTGGAAATGCCCATCTAAAATGAGAACATTAGGGGTGTGCATTTTGGTTCCTGTGAACCATGGTTTGCAAGCCTAAATATGATATGAAGCGAAGTCGGTGTTCTCCAAAGGTTGCCCAGACCAAATGAGGCTTTTCCAATTTGGAGCGTGCAATGTGCATGTGAAAGCTAGAACCCCTCTCCCCCAATTCTCCCTATAAAGCAAGTGTCAGGCAGGGAGGAGAGAGAAGGGAGAGGGTTTAGTTTTGTGGCTCATATCTCTAGGTCCCAACCAAGGAATAAGTTTAAGTTTGCTTCCAATCACAGTGCTTGTGAGAGACATATAGAGGAAAGTTACAGACTGCTGTCAAGCTGATTAGGACAAAAAGAGAGAGCCTCAAACTGTTTCTTTATTTGTTGTAACCATCTATCCATCTGAATTTTTGCAGGTTTCCGTTACACACGAAAGTATCTGGTTTGTAACAGATTTTTGTAACTAGATTTAAGGAACAACTCTGAGCGAGTTGCAACAAGTAGAAAATGCATGAAACCATTTAATGTAATAAACATTTTAAAAGTATAAATAGGTAGCAATAAAAATTCAGTTAATAACACAATGCAGGGCCCAACATGGGCAGTGAGTGGGAAAAACCCAGGCCTGAGGGTTCAGGGAGAGCTGGGTTGTAATCCAGTTGCCATGAGGGAAAACAATGGAGCTAAGCTGCACATCATCCTTTTGGATATTTATGCAAACTTATTTCTCTGCATCTATTGGGGCTTGACTGAGCTCTGAACCAAACTGGGCATATTTGTAGGGCTTCATCCCTCGGACAAGTCAGCAACACATCGCCATGGATGCCTGTGAGTTGGGTTGGGTTGGCCAAGAGCAACCCATGACTTGTCAGCATCAGGCAGAAAAGAGAAGTTGGCAGAGTGCAGAAAGACCTACCTGACCCAGGAGAAGGTTGACTCAATGCTGCAGCTCTGATGGCCTGCCCTACAGGATCCACGCCTCCAATCAAAAGCAGCACTGTGCAACTGTTAAGCGGGATAATCCAACCCTGCACTCAGCTGGCCACAACTCCTTCTTGAGTAGCTTCCTTTGCATGCAGGGAAGATGGTCGCAAAGGACTCGACATAATGCAATATCAGATTCTCCCGCTTAGCAGCTGTAAAGTGGGAGGATCTGATTCTGCATGGTGCCATGTCCCTGACCTTCGAAAAAGAGTTTTAAGGATGTAAAAATCCTGAGCTCCACCCCCAGATTGATCTGGGGTGCGGTTGGTGCTTCCCACCCAAGCAGCACCTCACTGCATTTTAAGCTGCTAATGTATCCATAGCCTTAGGCCACTCTCTTGCTGAGTTGTGATTCAAATCGAGGTTTCCCACACTTGCTTCTTCTCACTCTCTGGGATACAGTAAAGTTCAATTAGCTTTAGGCTAGGTTTCCCTTCAATAGTTGCCTCTAGCAGCCAGGGAACCCCACAAAGTCCCTGTAATATGTTGGCAGAAACCAAACCACAGCTTCGGTCACAGCAAGTGAATACTGTTTCTTGCCTCTGGGCACTCCAGGCTGTTGCAAGGTGGGGATCTTAATTAAGCCAGATGCTCATTCTTCCACCTCTATCTGACATCTGAAACTCACTGTGTGTGATATCAGATGTTGATTAGGAAGCAGGTGCTCTAACTGACTAATGCAGCCTTAAAACGGGGGGGGGGGGGGTTTTGTCAGGCTGGATTTTGCCAATGCCAATATATATATATATATATATATATATGTGTGTGTGTGTGTGTGTGTGTGTGTGTGCACGCTCGCGCCTAAGGGCTTGTGAGAGGTGTCAACCCATCAATCTATGTGTTTAACTTATACGGAAATCTGTTTTGTTTTGAGGTTGGAGGAAATCTCCAGCCATGTTACCATAGGTAGAACGTGCACTTTGGAAATCAAGTTTCTAGCCTTCTTTTTTTCCACCAGTATCTACTTACGCTTTGGTGCTGTGGATCAGGATTATAAGTAGAAATGCCAAATGTTCACAGCCTAGTCTTCAGCGCTTAAGAGAAACTGGCATCCTCTGGTGAACATACAAATCCTCAATCCAAAATTGTCAAATGAATGAGCCGCTTTTATGAGGTCAGGTTACCTAACCTGCTAAAGAGCTGTG